TTTTTGAAAGGGTACCGCCCCAGCGACAGTTCTGTATACTTTTTTTTCTGAGTGTGGTGGGAATTGAACCCATGACCACAAACCAAACAATAAAAAAAAAATCTGAAAAAGTTACAGAAAATGTGAGGCTGATAATTCTATGTTGCATCAAATGAATTCAGATTTCCAATGAAAATGCTGGAGACTCGTAAGTAACCATAAACCCCAAATTAGCAAGTATCACCTTTCTTTGATTAAACCTGCAATCACCTCAAATACTGCATACTAAAGTTACCGCAGTAATCAGGATTGCGTGAAAGTACAAATTGAGCCACGCTCGGGTTATAGGGGTCAGTTTCTTTCACTTTCTGCCTGTTGTAGATGTAATCAGTCTTACCCAGCTTTAACTTGCTAGTAAAGTTTTCCAGCCGCAGAGCTAGAGAGACCTGAACGGTCTAAACAGTGCAAGACTAGAACAAAATGGCTGGTCATTAATTGTTTATAACACGTCTCTCTCCATACCCTGTTTGACCTTACCGTGCACCTGACCAGTTAAGTATATATGAGACTGAGGGTATCTCCAGGGTATTAAGGCCATTGCCGGCTTTGTGTGATTTTTCTTTCCCCAATCTCCTAATTGGTCCTATCAGGGGTTATCAGCGTAGTGTCGGGTTCTAGAGATAAAAGCAGATAAAATTAAGACGCATCATTAGGCACCTAGTCCGGACTGTGGTGTGACCGGTGTAACTGCTGAGGAGTTTTTAATATTTATTTTAAGTATGTTTAATTGTTTTTGTTTATTTAAAATATATTATTAAATTATGTAAAATGCAAAGCATAGCATTCCAAAAGAAAAAGTGTTTTCCACTATTTTTTTCTACAAAGGATTTGTTTCACAATTTCGTTTTCTAGTTTGACCATTCGCATAAACTATTTGCTTAAATTAACATGTATGAAAATATATTATCAAACTATTTGATTGCTTTGCTTGGAAACCGTGTGTTCGCATGTACCTAAAAATACACCAAACTATATTTTTGTTATGTCAAACAAATATTGCGATATCATACTTCAGAAATGACACCACTCAAATGACAGTCATATAATACCTAGCATTCCTCTTACATAACCACAAAACACTAACAGCATTCTCTTACATACTATATACATAGTTCAGTATTTGGTTACTTTGCTGTCTCACTGCTCAATATTTTAGTATCTCAACTGGACTGTCACCTCTAGACAAGAGTGCTTCTTATGACTGCCTGTCAAATGACTGAAATCAATCATGTCTTGAAATAACTGTACAAGCAAAGCAATCAGAACAAAATGCTGATTGAATGCAATTCAAATAGTGAGGGTGTATTCATATACTTCGGGTTCTCGTTAAAAACTTTTAAGATGTGTAAATATTTTAACGTACTGTAAAATTCGATTTTTTGAAGCTTTAAATGGTTAGTTCCCCCAAAAATGAAATTGAGCCTATGTTTTACTCACCCTCAAGGCATCCTAGGTGCATATGACTTTCTTCTTTCAGATTAATCCAATCAGAGTTATATTAAAAATTGTCCTTGCTCTTCCAAGCTTTAGAATGGTAGATGGGTGGGTGTTTTTATTTTTATTTTTTTTAAATTTTTGGGTGAACAAAACCTTTAAACAGAACAGGTATTATTAGAGTATGCTTTACAAGTAAATATTCTTACAGTCCTTCTACTTTAAAAATTTGACATGCAATTCAATGTGTAACTTGCAATTTCTTTCTAATTATTTATTTTTGAATTTTACTATCAATTTTTCAGAGTGAGAATTGTTTCTACATCATTTATTCAGTGTATCACAGCTCAAATGAATAAACAGATAAATATGGAAAGCAAAATTGGTATTGGGACAAAAGTATTTGGTAAAGGTTTAGCAAAAAATTTGATTTTAATCTGGTAATTCAGATCAGTTGATGAAAGTGAGGAAAGACTTTGAGATTATTGAGGAATGACCAACTTAAAATGCCTGCTGCATCTGCGTACTTTACATACAACATAGACTGTGAGCTTTGAAACATTAATGCGTGCACACATACACAAACAAAATGGCCTTAAAGATTAATGTGCTTTCATTGTGGATCTTGCACTGTTTAGTCTCCGTCCCCGAAAAACTCCACAGGTCGCGCCAACAAATCATGGTCGCTCTCTCACCTGTCTCAGTGACCTGAGATGAACTTTTTTACCTCTCTAATACTGTATTAAAACCTAATGAACCACACACCACCACCCTCTCAAATACTTAGAGTTGCTATCATGATTTATGAATGATAATACTGCAAAACCACAGATGAGAAGAATTGCTTGTAATGACAGGTGGTCTTTTTCTGGGAAAAAAATAGTAAAGAAAATTGACCCAAGCTACATTGAATGCATGTTAAATGTTGTTGTGCTGACCGCAATGGTTTTGGGTGGTGTTTTATTGGCTTAATAAGTTACATCACTCTATATATATTCATTGCAAAAGTGCAATGAATTAAAAACAGGAGCAAGTGTTTTCAGCGCAAATGTTTTCTGTCTTTAATGTTTAATTTATGGATATATATATTTTTTCCAAGCATATTTTATTTTGTGTTGAGTCGCCACATAATCATACAATGAGAATGTATGTGTCCTTGTCAAATCACACAAAGCTGGAGCCAATACATTTGAATATATATTTAATAAAAGGCACTCAGAATATCATGAATAAAATATAGTGCTTAAACAATCAAAATATATCATACAGCCATAGCATACATTCATGAGATGCTAAATGCCATAATGATGACCACATAACACTGGCATTATCACCTTCATCGGTGGGATAATTGTAAAAAAATCAAAATATAACTCTCAGGGTTTTTTGAACAATAACTTTCAATACTACTATTGATATTACACCATACTATGACATAAAATGCATGCACAAGGGAATATACTTAAGATTTTTCCATTGACGCAATGGAGGGATGATTTAAATATTATTTTTTCTACCTCTAGTCAAAGCATGGTCATTTTAACAAATTCTTTACTCTCAGTGTTTTCATGCATCATTTTAAAATTTACACAGCATTTTAAGATCTATATTGCAGTTATACATTAAGTGTCTGAAAAATGCAATGTTACCTGCTGGCATAAGTTCATTTTCAAGCTTATTGGAAAACTTATTTTAGCTTCCCTGAAAAGTGCTGTATTGCTTTGCTTTAGACAGTGCTGAAATGCTACAATCAAAATTTGCTTTGGAAACATCTGTCCTCTATTTTTTTCTCAACTTTGCTTTTTACAAAAACATGCAAATGTGCAATATTTTTAATGCAAGTAAAGCATGAAATATGCTCTTATAAAAGGGAATTCCTGCAGTAAAGAAACCTCAAGTTATGGAAACACAGATTTTTGTAAGCATAGTGAAATCACTGAAAAATTTAAAATGATGTCATGTGATGAGCATAACACATCTTACATGTGTGCCAGACATGTGACAGACATGTGTGCACTATTGCATGACAAAAACTTTGTGTAATTTCTTTCATATGCTTATGAATGTTTCTAATACGCTTGTAAGATAATGATTCTTCCTGTTCTGTTTATAAGATAAATCCACAAGAAACATCCTGATGTTGCAAACATTTACAAGTAAATTGTTAGGCTGGATTAGATTATATATTTGCTGCAATCTTTTCCATCTTTTGCAGTGGCTGATCATTAATTGGTTTCACTATACAGTACATGCACTGTGTGATCATGCTCTTTGCCTTCATTGGCTTGTCAAGTCAGCATAAATTAGTGTGATACATGGAAAAATAACACTTATTACCTCCAGCAACAGAACCAAGCCAAATTAAAGCTTTTTTTATATGTGCTCAGTTTGACCGACAAGTATTGTTTTAAGTGGCTAACTGGTATAAATCCATGCTTAAATTCTTGTGCGTTTTCTAGCCATACATATCCATGTGCATAATGAGTAAGGCTGATAGTAGGCAAATGAAGCCTGTAGGTAAAGAAGTGCGTGTATCCTACTAGCTATCGTCAATGCTTTTTATACATTCGGTCAAACAAGAGACATAATGTAAAACTAATTGAATGAAATTGCCAAGCAAAGGTGTGTACCAAAACTTGAATTCACTCAGCATAGAAATACAAATAAAAAAATAAAAAATATCTCACCCTAAAGATAAGAGTTCTAGCGTCTCATTCTGTGTGTATGTTGACAAGAATAGAAACACCAGAAGAAAATGTGGGACAAGCAGCAAGCAGATGCTGCCACAGCACGGCGGGTCATCCAAATATAACATACTTGCATGCGTAGGATACTGTATTTTAATTCAAAACAGTCTTGATTATGTGTGACAACTACCAGGGCTGTTAGAGGAGACATTCAGTGACATTGAAAGATGGATAACAGTTTGGCATAAGCTTTTTCTCTCACAAGCAGCAGGGACAAAAGGTGATGTCAGTGCAAAACTCTAAAGGAACGACAACATCAGCAAAAGGTGGTGCTGGGTGAATGCTTAGAGTGCAGATTCATGATTCCTCGGCATTAATTTGAGGGACTCGGCAACACAGGCACTTAATCGCGATTAATTAAATGCTTGTTTTGACCTCAGTCAAACGCAGCCGTTTGCCTCGCAAATGATGACATGAGAACTTTTTTTGTTTTCCGAGTTTCATATTCCTTTTTCAGTTCAGTGCATTTCAGTTTGTATTACTGTAAAGCCTTATAGGGATGTTCCTTACAATATTTTTTGCTTCCTTTTAGTAGATAGTGATTCTGAGGTTTTATAGTCATCCATCAAAGGTGTTTTTAGCAGCCTTTGGCTAAAACAGCTTCCTGTTTGAGGTCTACCTTTGAAACAGCATGTTCTGCAAAGGTACTGTTGGTATATGCATAGCATTAGGTACATATGTAGAACTCTTAATTAAGCAGTTATCAAACCATAAAACCGAGAGTTTCTAAGTGCATTGTTGTACAGTCATTATTGCTAGTCATGCGAAATATACCTATCCTTATGGAATGCCGTTTTTCCCCGTCTGCCAATTCCCATTGCTCTTGTCCAGCGAGTAATTGCTTTCATACTTCTCTTCAGAACTGCTTTTCTGATTTGCAGCAGCCTCAGCAGCAGCATCAATCATCTGTTTCGACGCCTGCTCCGTTTCACGATGGTAGAAGTAGTTGAAGTTGGAGACGATGACAGGAACAGGAAGTGCAATGGTCAGCACGCCAGCGATGGCACAGAGGATCCCAACCATCTTTCCCCCCAAAGTGATAGGGCACATGTCGCCATAGCCAACCGTCGTCATTGTGACCACAGCCCACCAGAATCCTTCAGGGATGCTCACGAACTGAGTATCAGGTTCGTCAACCTCAGCAAAGTAAATGGCACTGGAGAAGAGGATGACGCCTATGAAGAGGAAGAAAATAAGCAAGCCCAGCTCCCTCATGCTGGCCTTCAGGGTTTGGCCTAGAATCTGGAGGCCCTTGGAATGGCGGGACAGCTTGAAAATCCTGAAGACGCGCACTAATCGGATGACACGTAGTGTGGCCAGAGACATGTTCTGGCTGGCGGTGGGGTCTTCATCGTGGGTGGCCATCAGTTCCGTTATGACGGTAATGAAGTAGGGCATAATGGACACAATGTCAATGACATTCATGATATTGCTGAAAAACTCGCTCTTGCTGGGGCACACTATGAAACGTACTCCAAGCTCAAAACAGAACCAAATGATGCAGATGGTCTCCACCACAAAGAAAGGGTCAGTAAAGACAGAGAGCATGGCCTTAGGATGAGGAGTAGGGGACAGAAGCGTGCCGTTGGCATCACGGGTTAAGTTGACGAACGCAGGCATAAATTCACGCTCATCACGGAATTCCGGGAGCGTCTCCAGGCAGAAGATACAAATAGATATAGTGATGACAAAAACAGACACTAAGGCCACTGACCTGGCAGCACTGGAGCTCTCTGGGTACTCAAAGAGCAGCCAAAATTGACGGTGAAGCTCACTGGTTGGGAGTTGAGGCTCAGGGTCTTTGATGAAACCTTCATCCTCCCTGAACTGTTCCATGACCTCATGTCCCAGTCGATAGAACACTATCTCATCCGCAAAAACATCCAATGGCACGTTCGCTGGCCTCCGAATCTTACCTCCGGACTGATAGAAATACAAGATTCCATCGAAGCTGGGGCGGTTGCGGTCAAAGAAATACTCGTTCCTCATGGGGTCAAAGTAGTCAATCCTCCTCATGGGGTCTCCCAGCAAGGTATCTGGGAACTGATTCAAAGTTTTAAGTGTTGTTTCGTACATCATCCCTGAGACATTGATAACCACTTTTTGTTCGCCCTCCTCGAATTTCTCCTTTTCAGCAAAGTAGTCCTCGGAACAATCCTTGGCTACTTTTCCTAGGAGAGCCTCATTGGGACTGCCCTCGCTGCTCATCAGAACCTTCCAGTTGGAGATCAGGCTGTTACAGCTTGATGTTCCTTTCTTGCTCAGTGTTGGTGGAGAGGCCAGCGAGTGCCTCGGCTGTCTTCCTCTCTGAGGTGAGTGTGTGGGTGAGTTTATGCCACAGGTCCCCTGGTTTGGTTCCGGGGCATCTGAGGTGGGTGAGTTCGGATATCCCGAGTCACTCGGGTCTCCCAGGTTGATTCCAATGTCGTCCAGGTTCTCAAAGTTGACTAGAGGAACCTCCATGGCCTCCCTCCCCTCCCTGGTGCTGAGATCAGGCTCCTAACCCAGGATGAAATGACAGTTGGCAACCAAAAGCACAGGCCAGCCAGCCAGCCCACTCTGCACCGCAAAGTGCGAAGAGATCAGAGAAGATTCAGGCTTGTTCTGCAGCAGAGAGCCGAATCCCAAGATACTGTCACCTGATCTGCAGATAAAAACAAAGGGAACAAAACAGTTGTGTTACTGCATGGGAGCTAAGGTTGCACCTTAGGCTAGGAAACAATTAAAGCAATCTAAAGTAATATAAACTCTACCACAAGACAATGAAAAATGAACAAACAGATTTAATTTTTAAGCTCAATTATTTTACTCAAAGAATAAAATGTAGGCCGACATGATGCCCACAATTGCAGTCCATTCAAAATTAAGCAAAATTAAGAGTGTCATTATTTATTTACCCTTTTGTTGTTTAAAACCGGTATGACCTCCTTTTCAAGGCTTTCAAAACTACTATTAAAATATAATGAAAGATGTGCTATATTCCAAGTCTTCTGACGCTGTATGATAGCTTTGTATAATGAACACACTGAAATTTAACAGTGAATCTTAACGCACATCAGACCTGTCTAATGGTCTAAACAAACAAATCATTCAAACCTGTCTTGCTAGCTAGATCAGCCAATTCAATAAAAAGATTTACCCAAAAGAACAATTCAACAGAGATGAGAATGAATCTAGCACCTCTACCATCGTCTCTGCTTTTCTCATGAACATGTCATGGTTTTCAGTGAATAATACTTTAAACTAGTGACATTTTTGATAATTATTAAGGTATACAAGCTTGGCATGGTCAATATCCCGTAAGGATATACATTACAACTAACAGATTTCATTTAGTCTCTCCTTGAAAACTCCTTGAATGTGCCTAAACAAACATAAATAATGCATTCAATCTGAACATGTTTTCCTGTCCTCTCTATCTACTGCCAAGTGTGCTTGAGAGCTGAGAACTGCACTTTATGGCCTCTTGTAGTGAGACGCACACATTTTAACTTACGTCTTCTGTATTGTAATACAAGCTGTACTCACACTGTTGCATTGCATATGGAATTAATAATGCTTAACAAAAGGGTCCAGAAATTGGTTACAGACCCATTTAGCATGATTTTTGGGCGAGAGTCAGGAAATATTAAAAGATTAAATCCTCCAGAACCAAACACAAACTTAATGTTCCAGGTGTAATATAAGTTGAACTCGTTTTGACATCTGTGACAATCAATTCCCACAGATAGTAATTTTGACTCATTTCATTAATCAATTTTTACAAACAAACAAAAATGTGTTTGTTTATTTATTATTATTAATATTATATAACAAAAATCACAGATTAATTGAATTGTTTCCAAAATGTAGTATTTGAGCTGTAAAATTGGTTCTATCATCCTTTTATCTGTGGGACTATGCTCTACTAAGTAGATTAACGTTGGTTATCTGTTAAGGTTGTAATTTTACTTTAGGAGAAGTTTCAGGTAAGCAACACATTGTTACATCACTTCCTGTTCTTTTATCCTTGCACACATCTCTTGCACATCTCATACTCCGTTTACGAGCTTTACATGTTCACAAAATATATTTTGGGTTATAATTTGCACAGATAATGTTAGTAAGTAATTACACTAATCCTGTGCTATACTTATTTAGAAATTATTCTATTGCAATTCTCCATTAATTTCCATTTGAATTATGTTGTATTGTTCTCTCCTGCGCAGAGTAGCAATTGACTGTTGCAGCCAAATAGTTCATTAGGCATGTCTGTGCAAATGGTGGGTGTTTTTTAGAATGTTAATGATTGTTATTTATAATTAATCAATTATAATAGAGCCCAACAGTTTAATTTATCCAAACATACTATGCTTAAGTTACTTAAACCAATTGGAAAAGAGTAATATTTTTTTGCAACAGTGCGCTATGGTACAATATTACGGAAAAAGTATTTTGAATTTGTACAATCTGATGGGTTAGTTGTTAGTTTCTGTATATTAAGCAACAGCATCTGTGACAGTTTAAGACTTTTTAAGTTTAAGTTTAAGTTCTTTTAATATACACACTCAACACACTTTATTCCAAATCCAACTAAAGCAGCTTTTGGATTCCAGTGTCGTTCCTCTCGGGGTCAAAGGTGCAGGTCAAAGGTCCAGTTCGGGCCTCTTATCTACAGCATTCTATTTTCCAGAGAGTTTAATGGAGACAGGTAACCATAACCTGAACAGAGGATTTAAACAGCTACCCCTCGTACCACTTGACACCATAAAACCCACAGCCGCCAAAGAGAAAAGCTTCTGGCTCCATGACCGCTTGTGTGGCTGCACTGGAAGGTAACGCACACCTCTCACCTTCGCTCCGCGTTATATTCCATTGACCCTATTAGTATACAGCAGGGCCTATCTTTTCCATTGTCAGAGGAGTATTGTTGGATGGGTGGGTTACACGGACATTCTGTTTCATGTGGCCACATTTTTACAGCACTGGCAAGATGGCCTAGTTTATATGGTAAGTGCTGGTGTTTAGTTTTTAAGGAAAAGTTGACCAGTGCCCAAGGAAGAATAATAGCATCGTACTGCTTAGATTGTTATATACCCAGCTGTACTGGCCATATACAGTATGATTCTGTACAATATTTGCATTACTTAAAGGGACAGTTTGATAGTTCACCCAAAAAGAATTGATTCATCCTTGTATTGTTCCATACCTGTATGCATTTCTTCCTTCTGTGTAATACAATGAAGATATTTTGATTTATTCTAATGTTGTTTAGAGTCCAACTTTCTTCAAAATATATTCTTTTGTGTCCCACAGAAGAAAAAATAAAGGGTTTTGGCCAACTTGAAGTTGAATCAGATAAGCAGAATTTCCATTTCCATCTCTTTACATATATTCTATTTAAAAAAACAGCGTTTTACCAATTGTGACCCTGGAGCACAAAAGCAGTCTTAAGTCGCTGGGGTATATTTGTAGCAATAGCCAAAAAACATTGTATGGGTCAAAATGATCGATTTTTCTTTTATGCCAAAAAAATCATTAGGATATTAAGTAAAGATCATGTTCCATTAAGATATTTTGTAAATTTCCTACCGTAAATATAACAACTTAATTTTTAATCAGATAAGCAGAATTTCCATTTGTGTAAACTATCTCTTTACATATATTCTATTTAAAAAAACAGCGTTTTACCAATTGTGACCCTGGAGCACAAAAGCAGTCTTAAGTCGCTGGGGTATATTTGTAGCAATAGCCAAAAAACATTGTATGGGTCAAAATGATCGATTTTTCTTTTATGCCAAAAAAATCATTAGGATATTAAGTAAAGATCATGTTCCATTAAGATATTTTGTAAATTTCCTACCGTAAATATAACAACTTAATTTTTTGATTAGTAGTATGCATTGCTAAGAACTTCATTTGGACAACTTTAAAGGCGATTTTCTCAATATTTAGATTTTTTTTTGCACCGTCAGATTCCAGATTTTCAAATAGTCATATCTCGGCCTAATATTGTCCTATCCTAACAAACCATACATCACGTTTTGTGGTCCATGGTCACAATTCTGCATCTTACATGGTTCTGCTGCCTCTATTTTAAGTATACTCTTCTCAGAAGACTTATGTTACACAATTGTAATATTTTGCACTGCCTTTGTCAACTGTATCCCATGCACTCTGCACCTTTTGTTAATTTATTATTTATTGAACTTCTTTATATTTATTTATTTCCTACATTATTCAACTGTAACTGCAACGACCTTGTGAAAGAAAAATAAACTAACCTCATTACACCTGTTCAATGACAGTAAGAAGCTTGACTTATCTGATACAGTATATATGCTAAGTATTAACTATATACTCTACACCTTGTAAATATAAAAGTTTTTCTACTTCAAAATTTCACATTTAACGTGTTACATGCTATTTTTTTTACTAGCAATTCCCTGAGTGAAAATTGTTTCTACACCATTTTTTTCTTGTGTTATTAGCACAACTGCAGGGTTTACAGATCCACATATGAGGGTACAGTTATGTAGCGAGGGCAGGATGGACGAAGGTTACAAGTGACAGAAGCTTCCATCCTTATCCTGCAGTGCTTCGTCTGGGGAAAATGCTGAAGATGTGAAAATGCACCACGGACAGAGATGACATCTATATCCCTCAGTTGTGTGTGTGTGCTCGCGTGTGTCTAGAAGATCGATCACCAACGTGTGGGAAAGTTTTCCCACATGCATCACAGGTACAAAGCCATTGTTTTGTATCAAGCACCTCGGGGGCATGATACTACCATGTGCACGTGTAAAGGCACATTATATAAATTTTGTTCTGTATGTGCTAGATTGTGTGCAGAATTCTGTGAAAATGCAGTTTCATATATCTGAATCGGCACAAATATTATTCCTCTGGCTTGAATCGCAGAAATATTATTAGACAATATGCTATAGCTGTTTTAATTTCCAAGTCTTATTGGTAGCAGCACAGAAAGTCTAACATATAAATGTTCAACTTAAAGTGACAGTTAACCCAAAAATGAAAACTCTGTCATCGCTTATTTACTCTCATGTCATTCCAAACCTGTATGGCTTGCTTTCTTCTGTGAAAAACAAAAGAAAATATTTTGAGAAATGTCTGTTTTTTTGTCCATACAATGGAAGTCAATGGTCACAAAAACATTCTTTAAAATATCTTTTATGTTCCACGAAAGAATAAGTCATGCCAGTTGTAAAGACATGAGGGTGAATAAATGATGACAGAATTTTCATTTTTGGCTGATTATCCCTTTAAATTGAAAATGTATAACTTCTGTGCTACTACGATTCAGGTAGAATGTATATCTGATAAAGGGTCACTATCCCTTTAAAATATTTGAAGAAATTGAAATTGAGAATATAGTGATTATAATGAATCACATAATTCGAAGATCTACTAACACAGATATCTAAAACTGCATACATATACACATATACAGTACATACATATAC